TACACTTAAAAATGGTTAATTTTCCAACATGGCAACATGGCATAATCCCGTCTCTACAAAAAATAAAAAAGTTAGGCCTGGCATGGTGTTTCATGGTTGTAATCCCAGCACTTTGGGAGGCCGAGGTGGGCGGATGGGGAGGCTGAGGCAGAAGAATCACTTGAACCTGGGAAGCAGAGGTTGCGGTGCGCTGAGATCGTGCCACTACACTCCAACCTGGGCAACAGAGTGAGACTCCATCTCAAAAATAAATACATAAATAAAGAGCCAGGCATGGTGTTGCACGCCTATAGTCCCAGCTACTTGGAGGGCTGAGGTGGGAGGATTGCTTGAGCCTGGGAGGTCGAGGTTGCAGTGAGCTGTGATTGTGCCCCTGCACTCCAGCCTGGGCAGCAGAAGGGGACCCTGCCTTAAACAAAATACAAAAAAACAAAAATGGCGAATTTTCTGGTATGTGAATTCTATCTCAATTACATAGAAGGGTCTTTTCCCTCATTTTCCCCTTTCCTAATGAGAATCCTATATAGATGCTGGGAGGGACATACAGGTCCCCCAGCCCATGCCACACAGCCCTGAAGCTATTTCCAACTCCACCAACAGACTTGGATTTCTTGAGGTCATAGAGAAACCACACCAGTTCAGTCACAGAACCTTGGACTGGCAGTGACCAATCCACTCATTTTGCATATCACATTGCATGGCCCTGGCAGAAGAGGGACCAGAACCCAGGCCCTCGGCTTGCCAATGCAGCCCACATCCACCATCTAGTCCCAGGTTCTTAAGCCACCCACCAGAATGCTCCCCCAACCGTTTTTTATATCTAAGTGAAAGAGACAGCTGAGAAGAAAACTGGCCAACATCCATCCATCCCACAAATATTCCCGAGGTGCCCAGGAGACAGGTACTGTTGGAGGGGCTGATCGCAAGGTGAACACACAACACAGTCCTTGACTTTGCAGAATCAATAGTCTCAGGACTTTTTCTAGCAGGACTTTCAAGAACAGGGTGGACTCAGGGAACACCCAACCTTCTCTTCCTCCATCACCTCCCCATCTGTGTAGAAAACACTGTACTTTTTTTTTTTTTTTTTAAAGAGACAGGGTCTCGCTCTGTTGCCCAGGCTGAGTGCAGTGGTGCAATCATGATTCACTGTAGCCTCGAACTCAGGGTAAAACAATCTTCCCGCCTCACCCTCCCAAGTTCCAAGCTAGAACTACAGGCGTGCCACAGAGCTCAGCTAATTTTTAAAATTATTTGTAGAGATGGGGTCTTGCTATGTTGCCCAGGCTGGTCTCAAACTCCTGGGCTCAAACAATCTTCCCACCTTGCCCTCCTAAAGTGTGGGATTACAGGTATGGGCCACCATGCCTGGCCTATACACACATTTTAGCAGCTCTGCAAACAGAGGAGGTGGTCCTGTGCCTCCCTCTGGAAATACTCTGGCTAATCCAGCTCTCTCCCCTTAGGAAAAAGTGATCAGACACTTCCCCCTAGACTGGATCCCCTACTGGAGGGGGCACTGCTACAAAGGACATTATTTAACAAATCTGAATAAGAACGGTAGATTAAAGTATTATCACAACATTAAACTTATAGAAGTTGATAATGTACTAGGGTAATGTAAGAGAATATTTGCATTTTTAGGAAACACAGAAGTATTTAGGGATAAAAGGCTAAGATGGATGTAACTTACCCTCAAATGGTTCTGAAAACAAAAAATTGTACACACACCTACACATTCAGAGGGAGAAAGAGAATGGAAAAAAGGGAAAGAATGTGGACTTGTGTCCTTCGTTTGTGATGTACATGGAGGCAGGTGAAAATTTTCTTTCTTTCAAGCAGTCTCTGCCTCCTCCACAGCAGGACGGAGGAGAGAGGTACATGCTTCCTGCCCTGTCGTGGCAGGGCGGTACCTGGAGCTAGGGTCTTGGAAGGACACTGCACCTACAGGCCCTGGCCCAGGTCTCCATGGGACCAACGCTTAAGTCACTAACCATTTTTTTTTTTTTCTTTTTTGACATGGAGTCTCATCTTGTTGCTCAGGCTGGGGTGTAGTGGTGCAATCTCAGCTCACTGCAACCTCCACCTCTCAGGTTCAAGCAATTCTCCCTGCCTCAGCCTCCTGAGTAGCCGGGATTACAGGTGCGCGCCACCACGCCCGGCTAATTTTTGTATTTTTTAGTAGAGACGGGGTTTCGCCATGTTGGCCAGGCTGGTCTTGAATTCCTGACCTCAGGTGATCTGCCTGCCTTGGCCTCCCAAAGTGCTGGGATTACAGGCTTGAGCCACTGCGCCCAGCTGCCAGTGACCTCTTGCTTAGCCTCCAGGATATCCTGTACACTGTCCTCAAGGTGAGTTTTCGAAAATTAAAACCTGACTGTGTTGTGCACCTGTTCAAAATTTGCAAGCCTCTTTTTCCTCATCTGTAAAATGTGAATGAATAATAATCTCTTCCTTGCAGGATTGTTGAGAGTTAAATGAGATACTATGCATGAAGAGCCCAACAGTCAGGTGTTACTATAAATGCTCAGCAACAGAAGCTATTATTATATGTATATGTATGTATATTTGTATGTCAAAACTGAGAAAAAAAACTAAAAGGAATGAGCCAAAATGTTAATCATGGTTATATCTAGACGGTGGAATAAATGGCTGGTTTTAATATCGTTGTCTTTTTTTTTTAGCTATGTAAATTTTGCAATTTAAAAAGGTGTTTACAAACAAAAATACAGATTTTCTGAAAAAATTGGTCCATCCAGGATTAGCCAAAAACTTCTGTTATAAAAGTGTAGTTCCTGAAGGTCTCTAGAGACCAGGAATGGCGCCCACAGCTGCACTGTCTTATCCTGCACCTGTGGCAGGCATCGCGAATGGATCCCAGCACCCTCTCTTGGACCTCAGACTTGGGGAAACCCAGCATGCAGCAGGGACTTGCCCAGGGTCACTGCGAAGGTGAGGGGCAGAGCTGGGAAGTGTGAGCCTGGTGCTGTACTTCCTGTGCTCTGGGGGAGCACCAGTGCTCTGTGAGTCTGTGCCCTGGTCTCCTTCCTGCACACAGCCTTTCCTTTCTCTTGGATCATTTCCTGGGTCGAAGGCCAAGAGCAGTACTGTGTCTTTGACTGTGGCGCACTGATTGCTCTCAGGGCCTTTATCTCTAGACTCTGGCCCAGGGCCATGCCCCAATTTCTGCAGTGAGGTTTCTCAAGAAAAGCCAGAAGAGCTGACTCTCAGGCTGCCCTCGGGCTGACGGGAGGCAAGCTGCCCAGGAGCCTCATTCAGACCCATACCTCCCGCCTCCCACAGACTCCGGGAAGGTGCCTTAGGGTTAGGCGTGGCTCAGAGGGCCTAGCCCTAGACAGCTTCTCTTCCTTCTCAGCCTTCTCTTCCTTCTCAGCTGATGAGGGAAGGTGCTGGATCATACCACCTCACCCCTCCCCTCTGCCCCACCTCTCCTGCCCTGCCCTGGGCTGGCAGATTGCTCTGCTTCTAAAAGGGTTTTACATTGAGGACCACAGGCAGGAGCGGACATTAGCCAGCCTGGTGGGCTATTGACTGAGCTGCTAAAAGCCTGTCAGGGGCATTTATCATCAGGAGGCCATTTCCACCTTCTGCCCATTAGACCAGCACTCAGCCAGAAACAGGCTTCTGATGGATGGGGTGTACAAGCTCTAAA